TAAATTTTATGTACGTTCGTTATGTGGCATTTTGCGTAATTATCGAAAAACATCGTCCGAATACTTTTTGGAGGGCAATGTATATCTATACTGTAAATGATAACAAACTCCCCTTTCTCCACCAATCCATTTTTTTTTTTAATAATTAATTCTACTTTCTGTAACAAACATCTTAATAAACTCCCTCTCTATAACAAACAGAGGCACAATAATTACATATAGGATGGGGAGGTTTGTTTGTTATAAAGATAAAGCTAACTGGATAATCAATTATTGAAACTATTTTATAAAGTCATTGTCGTTCAAATAATGTGAATTAAAATACTTCAAAATAACTTGATTTTATTATTCCATAAAACCTCTAATTAGTGTAATGTTGACTATCAAGAGAGATTCCTATTTTATTTCGTGTAATGAATGCTCAATGCATATTTTTAAATGACAATCAGTGGTGGACCTTGGAAGTCTGCATTACATCCAGTAATAGTAGAGATATTTGTACCTTTTGCGTCAAATCACGCTGCATTTCAAGCCAACATCCCAGTCATTGAATGTATTCTAATGCCTCCTCCTATAATTACTAATAGAGGTTTTTAACTTTTCAATATGGCACACACAAAAAATCTGATAATGCACATTTTTGCTGAAGACATTAGATTATGTTTTATTAGAAGATCTTTATATTTTTACATATAATGCTTAGTTTAGGAGTAAAGGGAAAAGAGTCATCATATCCTAATGATTACAGCTTATTTAGCATTTTATAATACAGACCCGAGGATCAATCAATCACTATCCCTACACAACCCTTAATATATCAATGAACAATTATAACATTTTTTATTATTTAAAAGAAAGAAAAGAAGTTGTAATTACAATGAAAAAGAAAGAATTTACATCATCAATTAATATCAATTAATTAATATTAATCAAAAAAAAAAAAAAAGAATTATTAACAAAATTTAAAAGAATAATTAAAGCATTAGTTGTACAAATTTTTTATTTTTTTATTTTTATTCATCATATTCTCGTGTTTTGTGAATAAATTCAGATTTATAGATGAAGGCGTAAGAGGCGAAATTTTTTTATTTTTCTTGTTTTTAGTAGCGTTGTAATTGTATTTTGATGGTAAGATTGCTTCAAGAGACAAATTAGTCCAATAATGATCGGCAATATCGAATTTTTCTGAGGATTGTTGATTTGTTAATATTAAACCAAGGTAATTGGAAAATGGAATAATTGTTTCTTGGATTTTTGCAATTGTCGTAGTTGATTTATTATTGTTATTATTATTATTGAGAATTTTGATCTTTGAATTAGAATTATTGTTAATATTGCTGGATTTAATGTTTTTAGTGGTGATCTTTTTGGATGGTAGAGTATTTTCGAGTGCTTCATGAGTCCAGTAGTGTGATGACAATAATTTATCGAAATTTTTCTTGGTTAATTGAATTTCATAAAGACCGAGATATGATGAAAATATTGTTTTATTAGCAGTAGGTTTGGTGATAGGTGCGGTAGAGGCGACGTCGGTAAAAGTAATAAGGGTAGTAGGATTAAAACAAAATTTAATATCTTCACTTTCGAAAAAACCAGAATCTCTTTTAACTTGATGGTTTGACATTTTTTTTTTTTGATTGGAAATTTTCTTTATATATAAATTATTAATTTTTTTTAAAAACTTGTTTTTATCTTCTTCTTGAATTTATTTTTGATCTTGTTTTTGATTTTTCGAGAGGTGAAAAGTCGAGAGTTATTTTATAAGAAATTTCATCCATTATTCAAGTTGAAGAAGTTTTAGCATCCAAAGTAACCAGAAAAACAATCATTAATGCAAAAGGTGCAAGGGGCAGGAAGAGGAAAATAGCATTATTAAATGTTGAATGAATTCTTTGCTTTGCATATTATTCTGCCCACATATTGCATTTCATTATTTTTTTTTTTTATATAAATATAATTCAATGTATTATTAATTAAAAAGTTTTTTAAATTCCCAATTAATCAATGTATTGTTAATAATTATTGATTACTTTAGATCTCATTTTTCCCAATTTGAAAGATTAAATAAATAACAAATTATTTAATAATAATAAATGCTAATTAAAAAAATTAATTCGAAAAAAACGATTCCAATGCAATCAAAAAAAAACAATGCATTGTTTTTTTTTTGATTGCATTGGAATTTCTTCAACCTAATTTAAAGGGTAGAGTTCATTACACGACATATCATATGGCAAAAAACCACAAAGATCACAATTGTGATAAAATTAACGTTAATAAAGTTTTACTGAAAAGCTGGCGTGAATTTCAACAGAAGTTATGAATTCCACAAGCAAATTTACGAATTATATTATATGTTTTTGCTGAATTAAGGAAGGAAAATCAAATGGTTATCTTTAATTAATATGAAAGGTGTTTTAAAATTTTATTGAAAATGCAAAAATGCACTAATAAATATGTTAGAAATAATTAATTAGTGCTATCTTTCAACACCAACAATTATAGACTATTTACACGAACAAACAATTTTAGTAAGAAATAATTTGTAATGAATGGTGATATATTTGCTAGACATCCAAGTGGTTATTCATCAGGCTTCTATTATCTATAAGCAGTATATTTTATATATTTTTGCAAGTATAAATAAATTGATACAAGAGAATTGTCGTGCGGGATATGTTACTTACAAAGGCAATGGATAGAAAGATATTGGAAGGGTAATTGGGATTCATTCATTCAAGAGGACAGGATAGGTAAATTCAAATGTTGATTTTTTTTTAATTTTAATTCTGAATTTATCCAACAAGTTAAATTGATAATATTAATTTATTTATGGTTCACGTTTGTTTTCATTCATTCATCTATTCGCCTAAGCTCAAGATCCTGTAAATGCTTAGACATATATCAAATAAATAAATAATTTTTTTATTTAATTTTCTCATTTTACATAATAAATATCCAACATTCACGTTCACATCCTCAAATGATCCGTCAATCGCAATTGCTAATATTAATTAATATTCACAAACAGTTAAAATAATAATAAGGAAATAAATGTGTGACACAAAATATCAACCGCCCACAGTTTTGTTGACCAAAACACGTTAAAATGGTGGATGGTGTTTGGTTTGTATATAAATTATCTCGTGGCACGTATCGTTTAGTGAGACCAAACAAAAAAAATTAATTTCAATTTCAAATCCTAAATGTCTAGTAATAATTTTTCATCCTTAGCAAACATCAACCTATTTTTTAATAATCTTATTAACTCTAATAATGATGCTTTACCATTAAAACATATTAGTAAACTTGTAAACGACTTAGCAAACTTGTTGAATGAATCAAATTATTATGACATGGAAATTAAAGTCGGGGAAAATGATGATATTAGGACTTTTAAAGCTCATTCTAATATCTTAAAAGCAAGGTCATTGTATTTCAAAGCAGCTTTGTCAGATGATTGGTTAAAAAAATCTGAGGACGGTACTATTTTATTTGAGAAAAAAAATATTTCTCCAAAAATATTTCATGTTCTTTTAAAGTAAGAAATATTAATTAATTAATTAATTAATTAATTTTAACTAGATTATAAATTAATTATAAAATAAAATATATATCTGAAAAACCCCTCTTTTTTTCTTTAAAAGATATATTTATAACGGGACTGTTAATATAGATGATCTGGGTCCGGATGGAATTCTTGGACTTCTTAAGGCTTGTGACGAACTAAACTTTAATGAATTAATTGAGGATTTACAAGTTTATTTAATTGTTGAAAAAAAAGAATGGGTTCAACAAAACTTAATTTACATTCATAAATTTTCATCAACACACCAATCATTCAGAATACTCCAAGTTTATTGCAATGAATTAATTGATGAAAATCCAGAATCACTTTTGAAATCTGATGATATTGCTACAATTGAAAAATCAATGCTTATAACTATACTAGAATGTGATGGGTTAGAATTAGATGAAATCGAAATCTGGGACTATGTGGTTCGATGGGGAATTGGGCAAAATAAAGAGAAATTGTGTAAGGATATTTCAGAGTGGAGCAAAGGTGATTTTTATGAATTGAAAAATATACTAGAAGATATTATTCTATTAATAAGATTTGTTCAAATTTCTCCAAATGACTTTTATAAAAAAATTACACTGTTTCAAAAAATTTTTAATAAAGAAGTTTATAATGAACTTCTTGGATACTATCTCAGTAATGAATGGCAACCAAGATTATTGCCTCAAAAAGGTCCAAGAATAAAAAAAGGCAAATTATTAAATTCAAAAATGAGACATTTAATCTCTAATTGGATTGATGAGGAAAATGGTTTAATTAACATAAACAATAAATTTAGTTTGATACTCAGTGGATCTCAAGATGGGTTTTCAAGATCAGTCTTTGAAGAAAAATGTTACAATATTGAACATACTGTTGTTGTTATGAAAATTAAAGCAACGGGAGAATTAGTTGGTGGATATAATCCACTTTGTTGGAATAAAGAAGAAAAATCTCAAGATCAAGATTATTTTATTGAAACTGATAAAAGCTTTATTTTCAAGATTGATCAAAATCAAATAAATAATTCAATATTAAGCAGAGTTAAAAGACCTGAAAGTGCAATATTCCATAATAATAATATAAAAATTTTTAAAGTTATTGTAGATAGTATAAAATTTCATGAAGTTTCAATAAATTTTAATGATTTAGCACTAGGTAACAGTACTAATAATGAACCTTGTTGTCTTTATAATTTAAAAATTCATGAAAATAATTTGAACCTTATAAATAATCATAAAAAAGCTCATTTGTTAGAAGAGCTTGAAGTTTATAAATTAGTAAAGAAATTAGAATAATAGATACATAGATATATAGATATGGGACATACCAGACAAAGTGAACATTGGTATTACCAAAAATTTCAGGGATCAAAATTTAGTCATTTGTAATTATAATTAATATTAATATTAACAGTTTTGTAATATCCAATTTGTTATTTTAAGTGATATAGACACACCTAATGCGGGCATTTTCTGGTAGGCATTATCCTATTTCCCCTGACTGTGGTGGAATAGGATAACCCTAGGCAGTGTTAAAAATTCAGTTGGAGTGTATCACGTTACACTATTTTTTTATATGCGCAAAAATATTAATTATTGGTCATACACAAATAAAAATTAAAAATTAAAAATTAAAAATTAAAAGAATAAGTTGTTAAAAAAAATTTTTATACCAAATTAATAATTAATGATCATTGATTTGTCTGTTGATGAAGATATAGAAGAGGTTAAAAGACCACATATTAGAAAAACTGTTGACCCTAAGTGGTTTGATGATTATCCATGGTTGGGAACTGAATCTGTTAATGCAAATACAATTTTATATTGTAAAGTTGCAATGGGGAAACAGTACTTGCAAGAGACATACCTTTATTAAGGATAGATAGAATTAAAAACCATATGAAAATAAGGTTGTGGGTGAAACCTCCTTAGTAATTGCTGAAACCACAGCAAAACTATATTAAATCTTATCAAAAATCCTGTTGAAACTATGCTGAAATGACAAAACCTCAAAATGTGAACTCTGCTGAAACTCTAATAAACAATTAATGTGTAACCTGCCAAACCCTGCTGATTGATTTCTGGAGGAGTTTCGGCAAGCAACCTTATATGAAAACCACTGAGCATAAAAAATCTGAAGAATTACTTAGATTGAATATTTCAAGACAATTAAGCACAGAAGAGTTAGAAATTATTTCTAAAATGAGAATTGTTTATTGCTGCTCAAAAAATAATATTTCTTTAAACAATTATCCTGATTTATGCAAATTAACATCTCTACAAATTGAAAATAAGAAAGAATTAATAATTAGTGATAAAACCACTACCTTGAACCTGCCTCTTTAAAAAAACCATCACCACCTAAATCAAAATATTAATCATGTATCTGCTGTTGAATTCTTAGATAGTATAGCATATATAATTAAAAAATCACCCTTTGAAGAACTAAATTCTTCAATTTATTGGAGTATAATGATTGATGAAGCCAATAGTGTTGATGGTGATAAGTATTTAGCAATAGTAGGCAAATATATAATCAATAATATGCCACACATGAGATATTTGGGTATGATTAATTTAGACACAACTGATGGTGAAAATATATTTAATCAGGTTATATCATAATATTTTTCATTTTGGAAGTGATGGTGCTTCTAATATGATTGGTATGAATTAAGTGAAATTTTATATTTTTTTATTTTAACTAATCAAATTTTTAATTGCTAGGATATTTAAAAAAACCAATCCATTCATGATCTCAAACCATTGTATATCACATAGACTTCATCTAGCTGGCAAAGATGCATCAGAAGAGATCACTTATTTTGAAAAATATGAAAAAACTTTAAAAAATTTATATAACTATTTTTCAAAATCATTACTGCTAATTTATTTATTAAAAAATTGATCATCTCAAATTAATGACACACTATTTTTGGTGTCACAATACTATAAAATCACATGACCCAAACGGTCAGCAAAGTAATCAATAGCTAAAACCACTAGGATAACTATAAAAGAAAACAAATAATTCATTGTAAAATATATTGTATGTTTGCTATT